GTTTTTAGTAGATTATAATATTTTTTTTGAGATAGTGTCATGCTTTCTCACCCAGTCTGGAGTTCAGTGGGGGTGATTATAGCCCACTGTAAACTTGAACTCCTGGGATCAATCAATCCTCCTGTTTCGGCCTCCTAAGAAGCTAGAACTACAGGTATGCACCACCATGACTGGCTATTTTTTTTTTTAATTTTATTTAAAAAAAAATTTTTTTAAAGACAGGATTTCACCATGTTGGTCAGGCTGGTTTTGAACTCCCGACCTCAGGTGATCCGCCCACCTTGGCCTCCAAAGTGCTTGGATTACAGGCATGAGCCACCAGGCCCAGCTGCGTGGCTATTTTTTTTTAGTTTTAATTTTTGTAGAGACACAGGTCTCACTATTTTCCCAGGCTGATCTCGAATTCCTGGCCTCAAATGATCTGCCTGTCTTGGCCTCCTAAAGTGTTGAGATTAAAGGGATGAGTAAACGTACACAGCCCATTTACAATATTTTCTTTCTTTCTTTTCTTTCTTTCTTGTTCTTTTCTTCTTTCTTCTTTCTTTTCTTTCTTCTTTCTTCTTTCTTTCTTTCTTTTCTTCTTCTTTCTTTCTTCTTTCTTTTCCTTCTTTCTTTCTTTCTTTTGAGATGGAGTCTTGCCCTGTTGCCCAGGCTAGAGTGCAGTGGTGTGATCTAGACTCACTGCAACCTCCAACTCCCTGGTTCAAGCAATTCCCCTGCCTCAGCCTCCTGAGTACCTGGGATTGATTACAAGGGCACGCCACCATGCTCAGCTAAATTTTGTTGTATTTTTAGTAGAGACGGGGTTTTACCATGTTGGCCACACTGCTCTCGAACTCCTGACCTTGGGCAATCCATCTGCCTTGGGATCCCAAAGTGCTGGGATTACAGGCATTGAGCCACCATGCACGGCCCATTTTCAGTATTTTTAACGTTGACGTTAAGTATGTATACAATTGTTAAGTGTACACTCACTGATAAACTAGAAAACCTTTCCCAACATCCTAATATACCCTTGAAGGATATCATAAATAATGTGTTTAAGGGCTAGAGGAATGCTCCAAGTACTGTGATAAGGTTCATAGGATTTGGGGCTATTTGGAAGACCCTTTCAAGACATATAGCACAACTTTTCTATCTGATAATTGTCTCTGTAGCATCCTCACAAAATCCACTGTTGGCTTGCAGGCCTTCAGAAATTGGCACTCACCAACCAGTTCTGGAGGTGTTCTGTTTCATCTTTGCACAGCTCAGAGTATTCAGACGTCCTTATTTATAAAGAACTACACACAACAAGACTATTCATCGATTTCCCACATTGCAGACAGCCCTTTGAGTTTTAAAGAGCCCTTCCCCATGTCTTTTATTTTCTTTTCCTTAATATGTCCTGGTCCCTTTAACTGCTTTGATTTGGAGGACCCCCACCAGCCGGCTAATTAGATCCTGAATGCTTTATCAAAATCCTTTTTAAATGGCATTGCCCTGAAGGCAAGGACAGACTCCCGCTTAGCAGGGGGGCTCATCAAATTAGAGAGGGTTGAGCACTTTTCTTTAACCCTTTCTTCTGATACTGACTTTGTATGAATCAGACTTACCCACCTTCGCATCAGATTCTGGTCCTGCTCGGTTTAAGACTTTGGCTCCTTTCCTGCAGACAGGCTCAGTGCTTCTTTGATAATTTTATGCTGCCATCTTGTGGCTAAATCGCCAGTAGCGGCTTTTTGTGTTCTAATTTAGCAACGGAGAGGATGTACAGATTAACATAAACACAAGCCTAGAACAGGAATAATCTGACTCTTTAAAAGAGGACCTGATTTCTTCCTATTGTGTGCCATGCAATTGGGAGCCCAAGGAAGAGGATGCTAGCACAGCTATGGTATGGCCACAGAAAATATGCCTGAAACATCCCTATCAGAGCCCAGCTCTTACTAGCTAATTGATTTTGAGCAAGTCACTTTTCCTTCTAGTGTCTCAGTTTCCATACTTCTGACCCTAACAGGTTTATAAAATGAAGCCAAGCAGTAGTGAAGGTGAGGCCAGGTCCGGAAGGGGAGGAAGTAAAGTGAATTGAAAGCTGGTAGGGGCAGGGGAGTAAATAAAGCCTGAAGGTGACAAATGGCAGAAGAGGGCAGGACTGCTTTAGGGCATTCAGAGGCCTAGGCAAATATTTTTCAGAAGTTCCTTTTAGTGTAAACAGTTTGATTAAAAATATATTATAAGGCCGGGCATGGTGGCTCACGCCTATAAGCAGAGAACTTTGGTAGGCCAAGGCCAGTGGATCACCTGAGGTTAGGAGTTTGAGACCAGACTTGCCAACATGGAGAAACCCCGTCTCTACTAAAAATACAAAATTAGCCGGGTATGGTGGCGCATGCCTGTAATCCCGGTTACTCAGGAGGCTGAGGCAGGAGAATCGCTTGAACCCGGGAGGTGGAGGTTGTGGTGAGCCAAAATTATGCCATTGCACTCCAGCCTGGGCAACAAGAGTGAAACTCCTTCTCAAATAAAATAAAATTATATATATATATATTACAAATACATGGATGGGCCCATGTGAGTGATTTTCGAAGAAGATTTAGAATACCAGGTGGAGAAGAGATGCTTACATATTTGTTTATTCAACAGTTAACATACCAATTTTTTATAATGACCTTGCACCATATCTTCCTTTTTAGGTCCAGAAATCTCTTTGTGTTCTTTATTGTCAAATGCACCATTCCTGGCTAATTTCATATCTCCCTTCATGAGAAAAACATAGCAACATTGTAGTACTTCCATTGCAATGGCACTTTAGAACCTCTTTGTATTGAAACAATATAAATTTCTTGCTTTTGCAGTTTCTTTAGCGTAAGAGTCAACAGTGGACCTAGGTAGGCCATAGCTCTGAACATAACCTGTGTCCAATGTGAGTGCCACCCCATATCGGCACATCAGCACCATTTTGCATGCCTAATGTTAAGAGTTCCCATTTAAAAAAATCCAACGACAACCGATGAGAGTGATTTGCTAGTGTGGCTGCCCACCTGGAACCAGGGTCTGGTCACAGAAACCCAGGACAACCAGTTTATAAATTGTTATTTTGCCTTTTTATTTTAAAAGGTACTTTTTGTGAAACAAAAGGTTTTAATTTCAGAGTAAAATTTATCAAAATTTTTTTATAGTTGATGCTACTTGAGTCCTGTTTAGAAATTTTTTCCCTAACCAATTTTTTTTTTCTTTCTTTCTTTCTTCTTTTTTTTTTTTTGAGATGGAGTCTCACTCTGTCACCCAGGCTGGAGTGCAGTGGCACCACCTCGGCTCACTGCAACCTCCGCCTCCCGGGTTCAAGTGATTTTCCTGCGTCAGCCTCCCAAGTAGCTGGGATTATTAGCACCTGCCACCATGCTTGGCTAATTTTAGTATTTTTAGTAGAGACAGGGCTTTGTCATGTTGGCCAGCTGGTCTCGAACTCTTGACCTCAGGTGATTTACCCATCTCGGCCTCCCAAATTGCTGTGATTACAGGAGTGAGCCACCATGCCCCGCCAACCAAATTTCTTAAAAGTGTAGAAAAAATGTCCACACTTGTAGAAACTTCTAGTAGATAAAGATGTATTAGAGGTTTGGTAACCAGTCTTTCCCATAGCCACTTTGTAGGTGTCACTGTAAGTAGTTTCACTTTTTGTTAAGCACTGTTTTCTCAAAGATACCATTGTTTTGTACCACTTTACAATACAATTACCCTCATTTGGAATGACAAGTCAGATTACTTTTGTTGTTTGATCCAAGGACACTTAGAAGATGGAGGGTATTTCTTAAGGAAGAAAATTTGCATACTTTATTATTTATCTGAAAACTGAAGAGCATGCTTACCAGATAGATTTGGGTTGATAGTTACACTTTCTAGTTCAGCCAGTGGGAGGGTAATGTATTCTTTGACTTTCTAGATGTTGCTCTATGATACTTAGTTGCCATTGTTTCCCTTCTGGTTCTCTGTTGTTTCTCAAATAACATAGAAGAGTTTATGAGATTAATTGCTCACATTGAAATAGTCAGGTTTCTGAGGGCAGCTTTGGCTTTTATATGAGCTTTCCTTCCTACCACATACCAGTTACTGGCAGAGGGTCAACTTCACTACTGTGCCATTACGGTTGGTCCAATGTTGGGTTCCTCAGATTCATGGAGGAAATAGGAAAATAGAAAGATTAAGGAGTCATAGCTAAAAAATTACAAACAAGTCACAAACAGCACTCTTTCTTGATTATTTCTTGACAAATAGTCATTGTATGAAATGTCTTTCTTTCCTTCTTCTCTCTTGCTCACCAATTGACTCATAAGCACTTCGGTTCTTTCATGGTTGGGAGCCATACAAGGTAGAGAGTTGGAGTAAAAAATACATTGACACAGAATCATGGTGTGTGACCTCATGCACATGATGTAACCTCTATAGGACTCTGTATGATAATGTATAAAACAGGAATAATCCTTTATTATGTTTGTAATCTATTACATTGGAGAATGGAATGGAAAGTCCCTTGAAGATGGTACTACCTTCAATGTATTACTCCTTTCTAGCGTCTTTGGTTCAAAAGTTTGGTGCAGGAGTTACAAATTCTGGTTTGAATGATACATTTGGATACTTTATCAACACATCAAAGCTCTATCTATCCCTTCCCTCAATCTCAAAACCAAACCGAATTAACATTTTGACATTTATTATGCAGTTTATGGAGAATTTTAGCATTAATTATTGCTTGATTTACTCAATGTCTTTATGTTATAGATGAGAACTGGAAAAGCCATTGAAGTTGTGACTCCTGGACTAGAAATGAAGTCTACTTCGAGTTAATGCTTTTTGTAGTATGTCTTTGCTTTCTTCAAATTTCCTTTTTGTCGTTACTGGGTAAATTTTCAACCAACCAAATCACAAAGATGTCGGGCTTTCAATCTCCTAGGCCACGCCTCTTATGCTCTCTCCGCCCTCAGCCCCCGCCCTCAGTTCTTAAATCGCTGCAGTTCGGTGCTGCAGCCATATTTCTTCCTCTCCCGGGGCTGGAAGCTTCTTTATTGAAGATCTCTCTGCACTTGGGGTTCTTTCTAGAACATTTTCTAGTTCCCCAACACCTCTTATGGCGTATTTCTTTAGAAAAAATCACCTAAATTCCATAAAATATTTAAAAAATTCTATACTTTAACCAAGTGTTTTCTTGACACGTCCTCCATATTTTTTTGAAAGCATTTGGAATATTTTGAGGCAATTTTTAATATTTAAGGAATTTTTCTTTGGGATCATTTTTGGTTGACATCTTTGTTTTTTGTGGGTCAATTTTCTATTCTTCCACTCTTTTCTATATTTTGCCCATCGGGGCTGCGGATACCTGGTCTTATTTTTTCTTTGCCCAACGGGGCCGTGGATACCTGCCTTTTAATTCTTTTTTTATTTGCCCATCGGGGCCGCGGATACCTGCTTTTTATTATTTTTTTTCCTTAGCCCATCGGGGCATCGGATACCTGCTGATTCCCTTCCCCTCTGACCCCCCAACACTCTGGCCCATCGGGGTGACGGATATCTGCTTTTTAAAAATTTTCTTTCTTTGGCCCATCGGGGCTTCGGATACCTGCTTTTATTTTTTATTTTTCCTTGCTCATCGGGGCCTCGGATACCTGCTTTAATTTTTTTTCTGGCCCATCGGGGCCGCGGATACCTGCTTTGATTTTTTTTTTTTTTGATCGCTCATCGGTACTTTTTATGGATGAAAAAATGTTGGTTTTGTGGGTTGTTGCACTCTCTGGAATAACTTCACTTTTTTTTGCTGCTGATCATTTGGTGGTGTGTGAGTGTATCTACGCCTTTGACAGGGGAATGACTCTGCAGTTAAGTTAAGGGCGTGTTCAGGTTGTGGAGGAAAAGTGGCCGCCATTTTAGACTTGCCGCATAACTCGGGTTAGGGCTAGTTGTTTGTGCTAATTATAAACTAGGGAGGCAAGATGGATGATAGCTGGTTAGGCAGAGGAAGTCATGTGCCTTGCATGAGCTAAACCTATCTGAATGAGGATTTGGGGCTTTTTAGGAGCTTTGCGTGATTGTCGTATCGCGAGGCAATACGACAGAATCGTCCTGTATCAATACAAGGCACTAGTTGAAAATGAGAGATTCGAAAAGACTAAGGTGCAGGGCTTAAAATGGCGATTTTGACATTGCGGCATTACTCAGCATGGCGGGCTGTGCTTTGTTAGATTGTCTAAAATGGCGGATCCAGTTCTGTCGCAGCATTCAAGTGGCGGGAGGCCACATCATGATGGGCGAGGCTTTGTTACAGTGGTTAGTATGGTGGTGAACATGTGCGGTCATACAGCAAAAAATGGCGGCTGAAGGTCTTGCCGCAGTGTAAAACATGGCGGGCCTCTTTGTCTTTGCTGTGTGCTTTTAGTGTTGGGTTTTGCTGCAGGGACAATATGGCAGACGTTGTCATCTGCATATTATGGCTCTTGTCACGTGGATATCATGGCGGGCTTTTGCTCGGTGCAATCATGGCGGGCTTGCCGCATTGTTAAAGATGGCGGTGTTTGCCGCCTAGCGCTGCTCCGAGCGGGAGAAAAGATGGGGTGGACAGTGCTGGATTGCCACATAACCCAACCAATTAGAAATGGGGGTGGAGTTGGTCACAGCCAATTAGAGCAGAAGATGGAATTAGACTGATGACACTGTCTGGCTACTCAGGGAGTACTTGGGTAAATTAGCATAGCACTTCGCAGATGTCTTTAGCCAGTCAGAAGTGGAGGGGCCACGTGTATGTCTCCCAGGGGGCGGTACATAAGGTATTTTCAAGGTCTTTTCAAGGACATTTGGCCTTTTCACCTTTGTCTTCTTTCATTTGTCCCCTCCTGTCCAGTATTGCGTCTTGCAGTGCTGGTTATATGGCTGTGTGGTCAGAACCTCACTCCATTCCTCTGTATTGGTGTCTTGTCTAAGACTAAGTCTATTTGCCCCCAACCCCCACCCCCCATCCCCCACTGCCCCACCCCCTCTGGTCTGCCCTGCACTGTGGCCATTGGCAGTGCTCCAGGCCTGCTTGGTGTGGACATGGTGGTGAGCCGTGGCAAGGACCAGAATGGATCGCAGATGATCGTTGGCCAACAGGTGGCAGAAGAGGAATTCCTACCTTCCTCAAGAGGAACACACCTACCCCTTGGCTAATGCTGGGGTCGGATTTTGATTTATATATATCTTTTGGTTGTCAGTCATACAGTCTGATTGTGTGGTTTGCTAGTTTGAATTTAAGTGTTAAGTGACTATTATAGGAATGTATTATGAGGCTTTATTTGTAGAATTCATTTTAATGACATTTAATGTTTTCATTTGCGTTCCTCAAAATTCTTTAAAGTTTTCAGTTTCTCTTTAGAAATTCCTTAACCTTTTTTTGGCAGTAGTCAAAGTCAAATCATTTATAATTTTAAAAAATTAATGATTTTTTTCTTTGAAATTGACTTTACTTCCCTTTGGATTTTGAAGAGTTTTCTAGCACAGAAACAGTTAAAAATTTAACTTCATGACCTAATGTAATAAAGAGTGTCTGAAGGTTTACACAGGTCCAGGCCTTGCTTTGTTCTCATCCTTGATGCTGCACTAATTGACTAATCACCTACTTATCAGGCAGGAGACTTGAATTGCTGTGGTCTGGTGTTCTCTATTCAGACTTATTATATTGGAGTATTAACGCCCATATTTCAATTTTCTATTGTATCCTGCCTGCCTAGTTTCCAGTTCTTCCCCAGCCCTCCCAGCAAACCCCCAGTCTAGCCCTAGCACTTCTCTCCCCACCCAGCTCTGCCCCAGCCCCAGTCCCCTGGTGCCCCGGCCCTAGCCCCAGTCCTAGCCCTAGCCCCTCAGTCCCCCAGTCCTGCCCAGCTTCTCTCGAAAGTCACTCTAATTTTCAAAATAAGTCGTCCATTGTTTATCCTATTACACTGGGATATTCTGTTTACCCCTGGCATTGCTGAACTTCTGTATTGACTCCTTGACCATTTTCAGTTAATGCATACAATCCCATTTGTCTGGGGTCTCAGAACAAAGAATTTCTTTAGCCAGTATGTTGAGGTTAGGGAATATTAATTGAGAGCTTTCTATCAGAGCATTATTGCCCATAATTTGAGTAACTTACTGTTTTCTCAATCCCCTATCCTTAAAGGAGAAACCATTTCTCTGTCATTGCTTCTGTAGTCATAGTCCCAATTTTGAGTAGTGGCTTTTTCTCACATACTGTGTTGGCCACCTGGAACTGTGTGCAATGAGTAAAATTCTAATTGCTGGTAATCCTGCCCATTGGATTAGACAGCACTCAACCCCATTTGCATTCAGCAGGGGGTCTCAGACAACCCAAGTCTTTTGTTGGACAGTTAAAATGCTCAGTCCCAATTGTCATAGCTTTGACTATTAAACAAAGGCACCCTACTGCGCTTTTTGCTGTGCTTCTGGGAAATCCTGCAGTTATTGGATAATTAAAGAACAAAGTAGTAATTGTTAATTGTCTCACCCATTAATTATAAAGACTTCCAATCACCTTTGCATTTGCCTTGAGGCAGTGCTGACTACCTGAGATTTAACAGTTTCTTAAATTACTGAGTAAACTATTTATCCATAGTTCTGTTAGTTACACTAAGGCCTCTGCAAACAACTTTGCACAACAGCAGAGGGACTCAGTCTTAGAGCCCCTTCCCTTGGCCTGTTAATGGATACAATAGTAATTATTCATGGCTCTGCCTAACAGAAAAGACCCACTTATGTATGCCCTTAACATTACTCCTAGTTAGTGTGAACTACCTACCACTTTGCATTAATATGTAAAAGATTAGGTTGTCCTCTCTGCCATTGCTGCTGAGTTCTGACTACCCAAGTTTCTTTCTCTTAAACAGTTGATCCCTGGTGGTCTAGTGGTTAGGATTCGGCACTCTCACCGCCTTGCCCGGGTTCAAAAAGAAAAAAAAAACCAGTTGGTACGCATAATTGCATATATCCATGGTTCTGTGCAATAAAAATGGATTCCCATCGCATCCTCTGGGATGTTGCTAATGAGTGCAGATCATTCAATAATAGCTCTTGGACAGTTAATTGCTGAGTTACAATTGTCCAGAGTCCTGTCCATTAGAAAGGGCCACTGTGTCCTATTTGCACACTACAATGTGGGCTGATCACCTAAGGACTCTTCTTATGCATTGATGTTCATAATTGTATCTGTCCACGATCCTGTGCGCTAACCCTTCCACTCCCTTTGTATTCCAGCAGGGGACCCTTAGTACACAAGACCTCTATACGAGGACCATTTATATGCACAATCCTAATTGATTAGAAGTGAGTCCTTTATATCAAGGCCCCTGTACGATCTTTGCTTTACATCAAGAGGGTCCTGATTACCTAATGCCCCTCCTGCAGAAATTATTGATGTGCAAAATGCAGTTGTCCCTATCTTGTATTAGTCTGGGATCTCATCCCCTCATATTCCTTTTGTCTTACAGCAGGGGGTACTTGAGACTGTTAATGTGCATAATTGCAATTATGGTCTCTTCCATTAAATTAAGATCCCAACAGCTCACACCCTCTTAGCATTAGAGGGTGCTAATCACAAGGACATTTCTTTAATATTCTCAATGTTCTACTTGGATTTGTCCTTCTTTCTGTGCACTAAAGACCCCAGTCACTTCTTGTGTTCAGCAGTGGATGACCTCTACTGAAGACCTCTGCACTAGGATAATTAATGTGAACCATGACAATTGTTCACAGCAATGTCTTTCAGATCAGATCCATTGTACCCTCCTTGTTTTACAGCAAGGGGTATTAATTACCTATGTTACATTTCCCTGGGACTGTGAATGTGCAAAATTCCAATGTTCATGGTCTCTCCCTTTAAACCAATATTCTACCCCTTTTACATTATAGAAAGGGATGCTAGCAACCCAAAGTCTTTCTCTTGGGACTCTTAATGTGTATACTTCTAATTGTCCATGACTCTTCATGTGCATACTTTCAATTGTCTGTGGTCCCTCCCAATAAGCTAATATCTTGACTTCTCAGTATCTTAGCAGGGGTTACTGATTGCCTAAAGCCTTTCTTGAACTTTTAATGTGCAAAATTGCCCTGAGGCTTGGTGTGGTGGCTCACAGCCTTAATCCCTGCACTTCAGGAGGCTAAGGTGGGAGGATGCCCTAAGGCCAGAAGTTTGAGACCAGCCTGGCCAACATTTAAAAAAAAATAAAAAGCAAAACAATTGCTCTGGAATTCCATCCTCCTCCCACCTCCTTGGCAAAGCAGCAGGAGTGCTAACTAGCTAGTGCTGCTTCTCCTATACTGCTTAAATGCACATAATTAACAGTAGTTGATGTGCCCCTGTGTTAGAGTAGAATCCTGGGTCCTTGCTCCATTTGCATTACTGCAGGAGCTTCTAAATAACCTGAATTCACTCTCTTGTACCGTTAATGTGCATACTTATATTTGCTCTTGTACCTTTTTACCATGTAAGGACCCCACCCACTCTACATTCCAGTAGAAAGTACCTACTACTTAGGATCCTTGGATTAGTAAAGTTAGCATGCATAATCTTAGTTGTTATATGCACATTTTCAGTTGTCTACAGCTGTGCCTTTTATCAGGACTCCTGTACTTATCAAAGCAGAGAGTGGTAACCAACATTAAGCCCTTCTCTTCGGACTGTAGATGCATATAATTGCAGTTGTCAATGGTCCTTCAATTAGACTTGGGTTTCTGACCTTTCACACCCTCTTTGCTTTACTACCTGGGGTACTATTACTTAAGGCCCCTTTCTCAAACTGTTAATGTGCCTAATGACGATTACTTTAGGATCCTTCCTTTTGACACTCCTTTGGAAGGACAGCATGGTTGGTGATATCTAAGACCCCATTTCTTGGCCTCCAATATGTATGATTGTATTTGTCCAGGTTGCTATGCACTGGAGAAGGAAAGTCCTCCCCTCATCCCCATTTTTTCTTTCTAGCAGGAAGTACCCACCCATAAGACCCTTTTATTTGGAGAGTCTAGGTGCACAATTGTAAGTGACCACAAACATGCCTCTTGGACATTAATATGTGTAATCGTGCACTGCTCATTCCATGTGAAATAGGTCCTACTCTTAGACCACTTTTGCAGTACAGAAGGGGTGCTGATAACCAAGTCCCCTTTTCTTGGCCTGTTATGTGTGATTATAATTGTCTGGGTTCCTATGAACTAGAAAAGGAGGGTCCTCTCCACAAACCTCAGCAGGGAGTGCCCACTCCCTAAGACCCTCACATTCTGACAGTCAAGGTGCATGATTATTAAGTGAATACAACCATGCACCTTAGGCATGGATGGGCATAACTACACACAGCTCATCACAGCTGAATAAAATCCTACTCTCAGACCCCTTTTGCAGTACAGCTGGGGTGCTGATCACCATGGCCCCTTTTCCTGGCCTGGTATGTGTGTGATTATATTTGTCCTGGTTCCTGTGTATTAGATGTGGAAACCTCCCTTGCCACACCCCACCCCCAATCTCTCTTTCCCTTCTAGCAGGGAGTGCCTGCTCCATAAGACCCTTACATTTGGACAGTTAAGGTGCACAATTGTAAGTGACCACAGCCATGCACTTGAACAATTAATGTGTGTAACTGCACATGGCCCATCTCATCTGAATAAGGTCCTCCTCTCAGACTCCGTTTGCGGTACAGCAGGGGTGCTGATCACCAAGGCCCTTTTTCCTGGCCTGTTATGTGTGTGATTATATTTGTCCCGGTTCCTGTGTAATACACATGGAAACCTCCCCTGCCACACCCTACCCACAATCTTCTTTTCCCTTACAGCAGGGAGTACCTGCTCCATAAGATCCTTATGTTCTGACAATCAAGATGCACAATTGTTAAGTGACTGCAGGCATGTACCTTGGACATTGATGTGCGTGACTGCACATGGCCCATCTCATCTGAATAAGGTCCTACTCTCAGACCCCTTTTGCAGTACAGCAGGGGTGCTGATCACCAAGGCCCCTTTTCCTGGCCTGTTATGTGTGTGATTATATTTGTCTCAGTTCCTGTGTAATAGACATGGAAGCCTCCCCTGCCACACACCATTCCCAGTTTTCCTTTCCCTTCCAGCAGGGAGTACCTGTTCCGTAAGACCCTTACATTTGGATAATCAAGGTGCACAATTGTAAATGACCACAGGCATGCACCTTGGACATTAATGTGCATGACTGCACATGGCCCATTCCATGTAAATAAGGTCCTACTCTCAGACCCCTTTTGCAGTACAGCAGGAGTGCTGATCACCAAGGCCTCTTTTCCTGCCCTGTTATATGGGTGATTGTATTAGTCTGGGTTCCTGTGTATTAGAAAAGGAAGCCTTTCCTGCCTCACCCCCACTCCCAGTCTTCCTTTCCTCTGCAGCAGGGAGTGACCACTCCATAAGACCCATGCATTTGGACAATCAAAGTGCACAATTGTAAGTGAGCACAGCCATGCACCTTGGACATTGATGTGCATAACTGCACATGGCCCATCCCATCTGAATAAAGCCCTACTCTCAGACCCCTTTGTGGTACAGCAAGGGTGCTGAACACCAAGGCCCTTTTGTTTGGCCTGATATGTGTGTAATTATATTTGTCCCAGTTCCTGTGTAAAAGACATGGAAGCATCCCCTGCCACACCCCACCCACAATCTTCCTTTCCCTTCTGGCAGGGAGTGCCCACTCCATAAGACCCATGCATTTGGACAGTCAAGGTGCACAATTGTAAGTGACCACAGCCATGCACCTTGGACATTGATGTGCATAACTGCACATTGCCCATCCCATCTGAATAAAGTCCTACTCTTAGACCCCTTTTGCTGTACAGCAGGGGTGCTGGTCACCAAGGCTCTTTTTCCTGGCCTGTTATGTGTTGATTATATTTGTCCCGGTTCCTATGTATTAGACATGGAAGCCTCCCCTGCCACACCCCACCCACAATCTTCCTTTCCCTTCCAGCAGGAAGTGCCCGCTCCATAAGACCCTTACATTTGGACAATCAAGGTGCACAATCGTAAGTGACCACAGGCACGCATCTTGGAATTGATGTGCGTAACTGCATACGGCCCATCCCATCTGAATAAGGTCCTGTTTTCAGACCCCTTTTGCAGTACAGCAGGGCTGCTGATCACCATGGCCCCTTTTCCTGGCCTGTTATGTATGTGATTATATTTTTCCTGGTTCCTGTGTATTAGACATGGAAACCTCCCCTGCCATGCCTCACCCACAATCTTCCTTTCCGGCAGGGAGTGCCTGCTCCATAAGACCCTTATATTTGGACAGTCAAGGTGCACAATTGTAAGTGAGCACAGCCATGCACCTTGGACATTGATTTGCGTAACTGCACATGGCCCATCCTATCTGAATAAGGTCGTACTCTCAGACCCCTTTTGCAGTACAGCAGGGGTGCTGATTACCAGGGCCCATTTACCTGGCCTGTTATGTGTGTGATTATATTTATCCAGGTTTCTGTGTACCAGACAACGAAGCCTCCTTTGCCCTACCACACCTACCTGCAATCTTCCTTTTCCTCCTAGCAGGGAGTGCTCACTCCACAAGACCCTTACATTTGGACAACAAGGTGCACAATTGTAAGTGACCACAGGCATGCACCTTGGAAACTGATGTGCATAACTGCATACAGCTTATTTTATTTGAATAAGGTCCTACTCGAAGACCCCTTTTGCAGTATAGCTGGGGTGCTGATCACTAAGGCCTCTTTTCTTGGCTTGTCCATATTCCTGTGTACTAGATAAGGACACTTTCTCATACACTCTCTGCTTTTCAACAGGGAGTACTCACTACTTTAAGATTCTTATGTTTGTCCAAAGTACATGGTTTTAATTGACCACAACAGTGTCCCTTGGACATTAATGTACATAAGGTTCATCCTAATTAAACAGTCTTACCCTTTCACCCTCCATTTGCAGGTTACCAGGGTTGCTGACCCCTAAGTCCCCTTTTCTTGGCTTGTTGACATGCATAATTGCATTTATGTGGGTTCTTGTGCCCTAGATAAGGATGCTCCACCTCTTTTCAATAGCGGGTGCCAACTCCTTATGATATTTACATTTGGACAGTTACTGTGACTGATTGCAGTTGTCCATAACCCTATCACTTCTTGGACAATTGTACCCTCTTTGGATTACTTGGGGCATACCATTTTCCTCCAAGGCCCCTTCTGGTGAACTATTAATATACATAATTGAAATTTTCATTGTCTTTGTCAGTAGATTAAGGTCATACTCCCTCACCTTTCCTTTGTAGTACAGCAGGATGTCCTGATCAACCAAAGTCCTGTTGTTTTGGACTGAATATGTGCAATTACATTTGCTCGTGGTCTGTGCACTAGATAAGGATCCTACCTACTTTCTTACCATTTTTAGCAGGTAGTCCCCACTTTTCAAGACTCTTTCACTCGGAATGTTCATGTGCACAAACACAATTTTCTATGCATGTTCCTGTACCTTTGTTTTAGAGCAAGGGGATGCTATTCACTTAATGCCCCTTGTTTTGGACTTAATATGCATTAATGCAATTGTCCACCTCTTCTTCTAGACTAAGACTTGATTTCCACATACTCCTCTTCCATCAGGGGCATGTTAACTATGAGTGGACCCTTTTGAATATTAATGTCATAATTGTATTTGTGGACTTGTGTAGTAGAAAAAGACCCTATGTTCCTACAACTATGCTTTGGATTGCTGCTGAGGAGTGCTAACTACTCATAATCTCAGCTCTTGGACAATTAACATGCAATGATAACAATTACCAAGGGTACTGATTAATTAGATAAGATTTCTTGATCCTTTTTGCATACATCGGGATACTGACCCACTAAGGTCCCTTGTACTGTTAATGTGCATGTTTGTAATTATACATGTTTCAGTGGGATATTATGCCCTTGTACCCTCTTTGTATTACTGCAGGGGCTGCTGACTACTCAAAACTTCTCCTGGGACTGTTAATACTTATAATGGCAGTTATCAATGGTTTTTCCTCTGCCTGACCTTGTTAAGCAAGCACCCCACCCCACTCCACCCTTAGTTCCCGTGGCATAATAAAGTATAAGCACTGCAGTATTCCATGTACTTGTCCATCAAACAGTGGTCCATACTCCTGCCCCTTTTGCATTGCTCCAGTATGTAAAATCACGGGTAGCCATGGTGTCATGTTTTACATACAAGGTCTTCCTCGCCCTGCCCCTTTTGTGCCCTTGACCCCTTTTTACAGACTATTGTTCACAATCTCAGGTGCCCACATATCCAGCTATTAGATAAGATTGTGTTCTCTCCCTCCTCCCTTACCCCCACCGTGCCCCTTTTGCCTCTTTGCTGGATAATGTTGACCGGACAAGGCCCTTTCTCTTAGACTTAAAAAATTCTCAGTGGCACTTTCCTTGGTCCCAGCCATTATACATGAACCCCTCTACTTTCGCATTGCTTCTGAGTACTGTTGACTACCCACAGCCCCTTCTGGGTTATTAATGAACACAGTACTGATTGTCCCATTTTTCAGCCCATCAGTCCAAGAGCTCCCTACCACTTTGATGTGTTTGTGCAGTGTTGACTTTGAAAAGCAGGCCTGGACTAAGTGGATAAGCCTTCAGTCTTTTTCTTTCATTTATTAATGATCCCAGTTTCAATTATTGTCAGATTCTGAGGACAAGAACCATTCTTGCCCACCTCTGTTACTGCTTTACTGTGCAGAGTACTCAAGGCAAGTCAGACCCAGGAAGCTGGATTGCCATCTTTTATTTTGTGTTTCTAGTGCACACTATCTAATTGCCTCCCCAGGAAGGAAGGTTGGCACTTCCTCTACATTCTTCTTTCCAGAGAAGATTGCCTGGTTAAAGACTCTCTTGTCATCTCTTTTGTATATTGTTATTGTAAAGTGCCAAATGCCAGGATACAGCCAGAAAAGTTGCTGTTATTATTATTTAAAAAAATTTTTTTAGGAAGATCTGGATTGCAAGGTGGACTCAATAACCTGGTCATTATTTTTTTGAAGCCAAAAAATCCATTTATACTATGTACCTGATGACCAGTGTCATTTTAACTGAGGGTGGTGGGTCTGTGGATAGACCACTGTGACTTGCTGTTTTAATATTATCAAAGGCGTTCTAGAGTGGAAATCTTAAGACCAGTATCTTTGTGTGGGCTTTACCAGCATTCACTTTTAGAACTACCTACATTTTATAATCCTTTAATTTCTTCACCTGGAGCACCTGCCCCTACTTATTTCAAGAAGATTGAAGTAAAACGATTAAATGAGAAAACGTATGCAGAGGTGCTTTTAAAAAGGATATGCCACCTTTTTGATTATTATATAAAATGAAGCATTTAATTATACTAAAAATTTGAAGTAGTTTGAAGTACCACACTGAGGTGAGGACTTAAAAATGATGGAACCAGTTCCCTGTTTTATAAGAGAAATAAGCCAAAATTAAATACTCTTTTGGATAAAATTTCAAAAGTGAGATAGCTGCCTAATAGAAATGAATAATATCCCAGCCACTGGTGTACAGGGTGTTTTGTGGCAAAGGAGTATGTAATACGGAACTGCTCAAGCAAATAACTAGTCCTTACAACAGCAGTTCTTTGTAATAACTGAAAAAGAATACTGTTTCTCTGAGAAGGATGTCAAAAGATCGACCCAGCTCAGGGAGCAGTTGGCTCTACTAGCTCCTCGGACAGCTGTAAGAAGAGTCTCTGGCTCTTTAGAATACTGTAAGTACTACTTTGCAGCTATTAAGTAATCTTTTTCCTATTCTATTTTCTTTCTCTTAGATACCACCTATAGAAAAGTCAGAGGGTCCAGTAAGTTTCTTTCCTTCTTCCCACCTCATCTGCAATATATATATATATGTATATATAGATAGATGCATACATAAATATGCACATGTGAGTTAACCAGCAGAACTGAAGAATTAATATTGTGAACCCAGCTCTATGCTAGGTTACACTGATAACCTGGGTAGGAATGATATTGTCTTTTATAATTTCATTCCCGAGATGGTTGTATTGTTAAGGAGCTAATGTAAGCACACTTGAAATAACTTTAGAAAATAATAATCAGGGGCCGGGTGTGGTGGCTCACGCCTGTAATCCCAGCACTTTGAGAGGCCGAGGCGGGTGGATCACGAGGTCAAGAGATCGAGACCATCCTGGTCAACATGGTGAAACCCCGTCTCTACTAAAAATACAAAAAATTATCAGGGCAAGGTGGCCCGTGCCTGTAATCCCAGCTACTCATGAGGCTGAGGCAGGAGAATTGCCTGAACCCAGGAGGCAGAGGTTGCGGTGAGCCGAGATCGCGCCATTGCACTCCAGTCTGGGTAACAAGAGCGAAACTCGGTCTCAAAAAAAAAAAGAAAAAGAAAACAATAATCAAGTGCTGTTTTGTGTGAACCATAAGTAGTAGATTTAAGAAGGGAACCCACAAGGATTTGAAGTTGATAGGATAAACTTAAGGAAGTGGATTTGCTTTTAAAGTTCAGAGATTGAGGGTATAAATCGAATACTTAAGCTCTTTGCACAATTTTACTACATTTCTGCCCAAGAACAGATGATCATGGATAATGCATATCATAGGTACATTTTTTTAGTTTGGAATCTTTTTACCAAGAGGGTAGTGGAGAAGTGTAAGTCAAAACCTTGACCTTTCTTGCCTACTTTATGCTGTAGTTTATATACACTCTTTCCTCCCACCTTTTGCAAAGCTAAAAGAAGCTTAGCCTCCTTAATGTCAAACAAACACAATGGTCCAGCTGAAAATCTACTGTTTAACATAACATTTGAAACTTTTTTCTGGTGCACATTCATGGGTCGCAGCAGGAGCAACAAGAACCATATCAATGAACTGGCTTCACTTATAGCCCATTTTAATTCATATCCATATTTCCTCATGGCTTGTTTCCATGTCCCCTACCCCCTTCTCCAGATGCTTAACGACATTGTCTGGCTGATTGAGGGTAATAACATCATGGTCTTGAGCCTTTTTGGAAACGTGGTCTGTGCCATTGTTTCTCAAACTCAAGTAATGCTTCAGGATGAAACACCTTCTAAAGGAACAAAATTTTCTGAGATCCTTAAAAAACGTGTTTTGAGGAACACTGACTTAACAAGTTATTTGAAATGTAAATATGCTTTCCAATTTCACATTGTCTTTGTCAAAGATGTGTTTTGTGTAATTCATGCAGAACTTGGGGAATCCATGAGAGTACACCCCAAACCCCCAGGGTTATCACCCTGATTTGAGAAACACTGGTCTATGCTTATGAAATCTTCTGTTGCTAATTAAATTGTCATTCATTGTCAACATGCAACTATAATTATTATTGAATTTGTTTTAAAGAAATGAATTTAGAGATGATTCTGTATCTTAGCTCAAGAAGGATGACTCGATTTTAGGTGGATTGATTCGACTAGATAGTATCCAAAGGTGAATCTTGAAGCTGTATTTAAATTAATTGCTTGGAATAATTTCCACCTTTAAGAAAAATCTCTAGCAGTTATAAAAGGGGATGCTCTGCAAATGTGGGCATCTTCAAAATAGAGATAATTCTTGTGTTAATCCAACAAATGTTATTGTGCCAGGTGCTGCAATAAATAGCAAAACCAAATACATGATTTCTATCTAGGAATTTGCTTTCTCATGGAGGATGCAGAAGGAAATCATTACGGTGTTGGGCAGAAACACCTAGATTTTAGTCCTGGCTCTCACTTTGGTTCAAATAACCATCAGTCTGACCATCTCGAGATTGCCAGTGAAATAAGATAGGGGCTTAAATCAAATACTTCAATCCCTGAAAATGACATTTTGTCATTTGAAAAATTTTCGAAAGACTAATAAAAGAAACTTTTTTTTCACATTTTTCTAAATGATTATTGTCTTTTCTGACTTCCCTGTTTAAAAACTTAACATGTAGGACTGGAGGAAGTTTTCTGACCATTTTCTCATATCCCCTTTCAGCTTTATCTTTCTGTAACTTCCCTTTCTCTAGCCGCCTCCCAAAATTACAGATGACTGTGAGACCCAGGGCTGCCGTGATCAGGCATTCATAATTTCTTTTCAGGGTGTTTGTGCCCTGGTTATCAATTGTACACCTGGATGGGAGTTTGTGTCTTAAAGTAATGAATTAAGAGTTGACCTTTGTTGACTGCTAAAATACTCTTACATGTGAAAGCATCCTGGGAAAATCTGTTACCAGCTTAAAGAGAAAGAAACTAATGATTATATCTGAACTGAGCTAATGCCTCCAATGTTCCCCCAAACTTTGTAAGTTTGGATGGCAAAGAGTAATGATATGTATAGTAAAACAGAGCTAATGACTTCCTCTGTCTTGTCTTAAAGACTGGATTGGGAAAAAACTGACCAGTGCTAGAATTTATTATGAGTAGACTTAAAGTATTATTTCCCTTAACCAATTACAATGCTGTTCTTCTAGTGTCCATCTAGGTTACTTTACCCATAACTTTGAAAATTATTGGCATAGTATATTTTATAGAATTTTGTTAGTGTGATTGGCATGGTACAGTGCTGGGATGTAATCACTCATTAAAGTTTTCCAGCCCTACAGGTCTCCCTTTACTGAAAATTAGCTACTCACTGACTTATTTATTACAGCAGATTGACAACATCTTTCCAGGAAATCTGCTGATGTACAAAAACAAAGTTTAATTGCTAATTTTTTTTAAAAACAACTTTTTGATATTATGGATACCTGGTAATTTGGGCCTTGTATATTTTAACATCAAAATTACCTATTACAAATCCATAAAAACAGAAAAGAAAGAGTAAGTCTTTAGGCCAAGACTTACTGCAAAGAATGATGGTACCTACTGTAGCAAAGTTTGGAACATAGACTTACCAGTTCTCAGGTTCCATTTTGCTTGCTTTTTAAAAACTATGTTTTATACGTCTTCAGCGTCTGGTTGGGAGATTTTTAGAAAAAATAATCTTTTAATGTTAGAACAGTGTAGAGATTTACAGAATGATTCTGAAGATAGAGTTTTGTCTACTTCACATCCAGTTTTTCCCAGTGTTAACATCTTACATTAGTTTGGTACATTTGTCACAATTAACAAACCAATATTGATTTTTTTTTATTAACCAAAGTCCATACTTTATTCATATTTCCTTAGTTTTTCCTTAATGTTCTTTTTGTGTTCCAGGATCCCATTGAAGATACCATGTTGCATGTGTCCTTAGTAGTCATGCTTCTTTTGGCTCCTCTTGGTAATGACAGTTTCTCAGACTCTTTGTTTTTGATGAACTTAATAGTTTTCAGAACTAATGGGTCCAGTGTTCTATAAAATGTCTCTCTATTTGAATTTGTCTGATGTTCCTCTCATGACTAGATTGGGTTTATGCATCTTTAGGAGGAAGACTACAAAGGTAGAGTGCCATTTATCAAGAGTAGGTACTATCAACATGACTTAGCACTGTTGATGTTACCCTTAATCATCTGTCTGAGGTACTGTTTGTCAGGTTTCCCCATCATAATATTAGCCTTTATTTCTCCATTTCCATACTGTACTCTTCACATAGGAAGTCATTATGTGCAGCCAGCACTTAAGGAATGGGAAATTATCTTCCACTTCTCGGAGGGCAGAGTATTTACATAAATTATTTGGAATTCTTTTGCATGGGATGTCTTTTCTTCACAATGTACGTGTTTATTCAGTGTCTTATATCAATATGATCTCATGGATATTTTATACTCGATCATAATACAATGTTACTTTATTCTATGGTTCAAATTATTATAGCTTTGGCCATTGGGAGTTCTTTCAGTTGGCTTTGATATAACCCCATGAATGTGGGGTTTTTGCTTGAGCACTTATTTTTGGCACTACAAGATGCTCCAGGCTCATTTGCATATCTCCTGCCTGGACGTAGAATGATGTATTTCTCCAAGGAACCTTGATACCTTTTATTGGAGAATGATATTAGAAATCAAGAAGTGAGTGCTAGGTGTGCTCATTGCTACTCGAGTGTCATTCCTTCAAGACTTTCTCGGTTGACAAGAGCAAGGAGACTTATGTTTGGATTCTCACTTGTATATATGCACATATCTATAAATATATATAACCATTTGTATCTATAGTAAACTAAATGTGTTTATACCTACATATCCAGCTCTAATCATTGCCACATAGATCATTATAGCCTCACCTCCTTGCTTATCTGTTACGTCCCATTTTTACAGGGAGAAACCTGGCTTAGTTGGGAAATTTTTCTGTTAATATTAGAGTAGTGAGTGTTTGACATTTGCTTCTATGGTTAAGTTTAGGGAGAGTTTAGCTGTAGGGTATTTCTTCAAACTAGAAATGACCCTTCTACCGTAAATGTTTCTGCTAGTTTTGAAACTTAAAATAGGTTGCAGAAACAAACTTGATCTTAACCAGAATTTTCTTCAATCCACATTTTGAAATTGATTTTCCGATTAAATTATTCTGATATCGCCAGGTAAGCTGTTCCTTGGGTATGCATTTCTTCTTTCAGTTTTTTTTCTGAGAACTAAAGGACCCTGAGAATACTGGAGGTGGGAAAGGAGGGGAAAGGCATGTTCACATGTGGAATAGGAAAGGTCCATTTACCGACCTTCAGCTAGCCTTTTAAAGTGCCTATTTAAGTCCCAAGGAGTAGATGCCTTCCTTGGCAATTGTAACCCAAATACAATTTTAACCTTTCGGTTTTAGTCAAGAAAGTTGGTGTGCTGATGCAAAAAGTGCCCTGATTGACAGCATTGCCATGTGCATTGCATATGAATCAGCAATTTAACAACATGAAATTGTGTTGAGCATAATTTTAAAATTTTATAATAGATATTAGAGACAGTGTTTCTCAAGTCTATAAGTTTGAAAGTAGGGAGATTTTCTTTCAAGAAAAGAATTATTCAGTGTGCGCCTACATAACCACCACTTAGATTCTACAATTAATATTTGCTATATTTGATTAAATGTTTTCTGTAAAAGAAAAATATTATTATGTGCCCTTTAGGTTAGTGGGAATAATTGTTCAAGTGTATGAGCAAACCTGGAAAGAAATATATAGATCTATAATGGAACTATAAAACATAGCAGATGTACAAATTAGTAGTTAACAGACACTAAAATGCAAATATGGTACTACTATTACGGTTTTATAGCTTCTTTTGAGTGGCATGTCTGTACTATCACATGCTGTGTTCATGCACTTCACCAAACTGCGGTTTTCAAACTGCTTTAAATCCTGCTATTATAGCACATAGCAATGCTATTTGACTTTCATTTGGCACAAAACACATTTATATATTGTTTGCTTCTGTTCTTTTCTATAATCCCCAGGCAACAAAACTAGATCATTTGCCACTAATCCGGCAATGTGATCCTATATTATGAGGTAGTCATATAGCTGATCTAGACTATCCTTACAGTGAAATGAGAGTATATAAAAGTTTTGTAGCAAGCTCCCATACCCCCCTGAGAATCCATGCACAAACCCCAGAGTTTTAAAAAACGTCTGAATTGAGGGAAGACATGGCTTTAAGTATCACTTGGCCACCTACTATTTGTATAACATTGATATAGTTTCATCTTGTGGATTGCCAGCTTCCTTAGAGAATGAAAATGTTGAATTATGTTATTATTATTTTGAGATGGAGTTTTGCTTTATCCCCCAGGCTGGAGTGAGGTGGCACTATCTTGGCTCACTGCAACCTCCGCCCCCCAGGTTCAAGCAGTTCTCCTGCCTCAGCCTCCTGAGAGCTGGGATTACAGGTTCCTGCCACCACGCCAGGCTAATTTTTGTATTTTTAGTAGAGATGGGGTTTCGCCATGTTGGCCGGGCTGGTCTCAAACTCCTGACCTCAGATCATCCACTAGGATCACATAGGCCACTGCACCCGGCCTATGTGATTATTAATTATCACTTCTAGCCGTGACGATTCTGTTTGATGCTGGAGTATTTGAACCAGATGGCTGGTGATACCACTTGGTTATTATCTCCATAATACTTTGATATTTTATTGGACTGCAAAGTGACAGATTCTCAAAATTCTTGTCAGTGAATATTGAACCCTAGTGAAATGTATGGTTCTGTATCAGTTCCAAAATGTAACCACTTTCTCTAGCCTTAGATTCCCATTAAGGGAAAGGGAATGCTCCTTGATTATGTTATTACCATAGTAACAGGCAAAGCTAGAGGGCTTTGATGCTGAAGCAAGATACTCCATAAATATGGTTAAGAAGATCTGGGGATGGGGTCCAAAGTGGCTCCTGCCGGAGCTCATGGCGCTCGCGAAGGCAAGGTCATCAGTTCAAGGCTAACCTGAGCAACCTGATTAGCTCAAACTGATTGGCAAAAAAAAAAAAAAAAGAAAAGAAGATCTGGGGAGACTGGAATAGTTGTTTCCTTTATATTCCAGTGTATAAATGAATTTGAGCTAGGATCCATTGATTTAAAATTTCTTTAGGTAAATTTGCTTGCACATGGAGTGAACATTGACTCATTTATGGAGTTTCAGGAAACAGTAGAACAAATGCATAAACATGTATGAACAGCCATGTTTAACTGGAAGCCTGCATTTGGAAGTGAAGTATCTAATCTTAGGTTAAATTAGGATAGGGAAGGATGTTGGCAAGATATTTTGAAGCTTGTTCTGGTCATGTTGAGAACATCATAGAACAGTTTAGCCTTTACTAGGCATCTTAGCTAGAGAATGGAGTTGAATAAGTGATCTTCCATATATTCCCGTTGGTATTGACATACAGGTTTCCTCATGATAAAGTAATCTCTGATCAGGGATCTAGAAGCCTGTATTCATTTAAGGGCCTCAGGTTTAACATACTGTGTGCTTTTCAACACCACACCACACCACACCACACCGCACCATGCAAAGTGCTTTCAAGGCTACAAATTTGGCTTAGATCCGCTTAAGTGAGCTCCTATGCTTTAGTAATGGTAGACGGCCAATTATTAAAAATAATGAAGACAATTGCACCTCTAGGCAGTAGTAGCAATTGCCACAGTACCTTGAATCTTGACATATTTTCAGCAACAGGATGACCATTAGCCACAAATCTAGTGTCAGCCCTTAAGATGGATATTGGTTTGACCCATATTTTCATGTAGTTCTTTTTCTTAACTTGTCTAATCATCGCATGTTACCCCCAGGGCTTGTTATTACAGGACCTTAGGGAAATCAAGCAGGCTAGAAAGTAGAGACAAGCATTATGTCTAATGCTTCAGGTTATACTACCTAGGTTTGTTGGGGTTTTTGTAACACTTTTGGTATCCTACTGGTCCTTTTGGTAGCCTACTGAGCCCTGTCTTTCTTCTCAAGGGCATTCTGAGTATGTGAGACCTGAAGACTGCAAACAGCTTTAAGAGGCTCCAAATTCAGCAGATCCTTCCCTTTGAGAATCTGGCCAAGCTCCAGCTAATCTACCTGGATGGGTTGCCCACCACCTGGAGAAAGAGGTACTTTGGGGAATTTATTGTTGTAGGGCTTCTGTCTTTGGCTTTAACTTCCTACTACTCTCCTTTTAAAGCAGACACGTCTGGTCACGGTGGCTCCTGCCTGTAATATCAGGGCTTTGGGAGACTGAGGTGGGGGGATTGCTTGAGGCTAGGAGTTCAAGACCCCCATCTCTACAAAAAATAAAATAAAATTAGCCAGGTATGGTGACGTGTGCCTGTAGTCCTACCTACCTTGGAGGCTGAGACAGCAGGATTGCTTGAGCCCAGGAGTTCAAGGCTGCGGTGAGCCATGATTAGCCACTGCACTCCAGCCTAGGTAGCAGAGTGGGACCTAGTCTCTTGAAAGAAAAGAACATGAGCCAGTTTTTATCAATTCCTATACTTTTTCATTTGCACATACACATACATTTTAACTTTTCATAATTAGTTTAGCCTGTTTCATTTATCCCTCAGAGCTGGGCTCCGTTGAGGTCTGTAAAGGCAAGCGTACTTGATCCCCATTTCATAAATGAAGAATGAGAGATGGAAAGCAATAAATTATTTCCTTTCTCACCACATAGCTAGTTAGCAAGAGAGATATAATGAACTTAACACCTTTTGATTAGTGGAGTTTTAAGTTATTCCCACCTTCCTTCGGCAGGAGGGTATTAAGTTCTCAGGATTTGTTTACAAATAAGACCAACTTCATCTGTGTTAGCTCTGTTTTGGTAGGCCTAATTCCATTATCACTGCCATTTCCTTGCTTGAAGAAGTTGAAATTTTAACTTGAAAAGCAATTAAAATTGTTAAAAAGTGGAATAGGAGAGCCCTGGAGGAGCTGTATAAGGAATTTACTGAATCTCTAGTCTTCTGTACCTTGTTTTTCCTTCTGCGTAGATTTGCTTAGCTGTTGTTATAACTGGAGTTCTTCTGTATGCTTGTGACCATTCTTGGTTTCTCCGAATACTTTAGAACTTTGGTGGTGTCCTATTATACAGGTTGTTGAAGCAATGTTATCATGTGGATTGTGTAGAAAACAATTCTCTTTATCTTGGCAATAGTATGGCATGGCACTATTTAAAGTACAAATTAAAAGAGAGGAATGCTATAAAACTAGCTGACAGGCACTTTGATTGAGGTGGATTGCTCAGTTCTTAAAATAGTGCTTTACAAAAGAAGCCAGAGGCAATATGGAGAATTCCTACAGAATTCATAGTGTTAGACCACATTGGACCTTTTCTATGTGACTTCATGACTCTCTTGGTTGGGAAAGCATTAGCTTCTCTTTCCATTAGTTTCAACTTCTTGATTTCTTGGACCCCCCCCTTATTATATTTTGTGCTGAGAACACAAGGGCATTAATAATCCACATTCTAGAGGATCTCTCATTAATAAAGACTGGAGAATAAAATATAGCATGGAAATATTTGTAATTATTCAGTTCTAAATTGCTCTTGGAAATGAGGGAAAGCATACAGAATACAGCTGTGACGAACAGGAGAATTCTTTTGCTAGGCTGGTAGCCAGAATACAACAGCTCGGCACAGCTGTAAATGTCCACTCCTCAATCCACATGAAGAAAAGGGTAAACGTAGTTGAACTCAACCAGTAGTTGCCCATTCAGACAGACTTTCCCAGTGTACTACATTTCAATACTTTTTCTTTTGTCTCTTTTTCAGATCTTCCTCAGAAGAATAGGCTTGTTGCTTTATACAGTGTTAGTGACCCATTCCCTTTGACGATCCCTAGGTGGAGATGGGGCATGAGGATCCTCCAGGGGAAAAGCTCACTACCACTGGGCAACAACCCTAGGTCATGAGGTTCTGTCAAGACACTTTCCTGGTTCCAGATAGGAAGATGAAGTCTCAGAGACAACCACCACATGTCAAGGTGCGTAAGCTGTCCCTAAAAGCATAATCAGTAGTCTTAATTTTGATTTTGTTTTCCAGTATACATTGCACTTAGCTTTTCATTGAGGTTGTATTCATCATTATTCTGCATATGATTTGGTGAAGACAGCTTCCTAACTAACCTGGGAAGCAACTGGGTGTGAGATTGGTTAAAGTGATGATGTAAAGAGGGTAGCAGGTTGTATGTGTTCAGGTGTATGGAGTAGGACTCTAGCATGTGGTAGAGGCTTACAGCTAAATTGTACTTTATTTTAGGAGAACATGGACAATTGTCACATCAGTGACACTGATCACATGGGCAAATCATTCTGTTCCATCTGGTCCCCAAAGTCTCTCTTAAAGCCTTACGGAAAAACTTTGCTGATCATTTACATACTTCAAGATGGTTTGGGATGCCATGGGTTACAACACAACAAGTGAGAGGTATGTCTTTTTATGCTATGATTGCTGATTGATGGAAGCCACATAAATACAAAAGGGCATCTGACTAAAAATGGCACAAAGTTATCTGTCATCAGGGAGGAGCTTAAAGAACCAGGACCCTATATTCTCTAGATCAGAGATGGGAGAAGCTGATTATTGAGTGAGGACTGACAAATAAAGGTGACTCATTCAGTGCAGTAAATTCTGATCATATAGGCTTTGCCCAGGATTCTTCATAAAGAGTGGGTACATATAAGTTTCATGAAATATTTTCATGGTAAGAACTCATGAAATATTATAATTGACTAGAAAGATCTGTAGATTTAGAAATAGAGAAAGTTACTAACAGAAATTGTTAGAAAGCCTATGAACTAGAAAGCTAAGTTGAGAGTTATCTAGGAAGATCTATTGTACTCAGAATCTTCAGGAAAATTATCCTAAGGCCAGTATCCTATGTGAATTTTCTTTTTTATTTTTGGAATTTATCTGAGATGTTAAACAACCTATGTGAATTACCTTATTGTGAGAATATTTGCCTCCCAGAGTGACTCACCTTTATCTCAAAGAGAAATATTACAAGTTTTGGAAATGCTGCTCTATGGCTGTGTTTTGTTAGTCCTGAGCCAGGAGACTTAAATAAAGTAAACTTGAGGAGGTCCTAAAACATTGAAGTGAGCCTTAAACATTGAAAAGACCTTATCTTTTTTCCTCTCATGTCTATTGTTTATTTTTGTGATCTCAGTTATTAATCATTTAAAGGGACTCTTCTAGCTGATTGGCACTTAAAACAGGATTCTAGTCTTTAACTAAAGGTATATGGCTATGACTGGTGGTGGTGACTCATCAAGTGGTACTTGGCAAGACATTTTCCCATTTATGCCAGTTTCCTGGTCTTCGAATGAGGAAATTTTCTCTCTAAAGACCTGAAAGTTTTGACTTTATAGGTTTTGAAGTTCTGTGGAAACATTTTCTATTGCTTATTAATTTGAATCTTAGGTAACTGTAGCACAGTAATCAATACTTATGGCATTTACGTGGTTTATCTCATGTTTTTTTATAGCTCTTCAAATCGTTCCTATCTGCCAAATCATTATCCTTCCTACAAGCAGTGCAGAGAGCTGAGTCTTCAACAGGTCCAAGAAATTTGAACATAATGAAAGAAGTCAGCCTTCCTACCTGAAGATCAACATACATGCCTGGCATTCTAGCACTTAAGGATAGTGGAATGAAGTAAATTTTTGGTGTTGCAGTCCTGTGAGGATCACTTCAAAACTGTTATAACAGCTGTTTTTTGGGAGCCGGTGTTGGATAGGGTGTGTTGGTCTAATGTTAAGTGGGGCTAAATGTGAGATATAAAGATGACCAGTCTTCCATGTTATCGACTGGGTTCACTGAAGCAACTCAAAGACATTACGGTCTTCTTACTAGTTGTATCACAGAAGAACTTAGCCTTTGCTTGTGTGTTCTATGTCTTCACTGTATAGGCCCTCTGTCATTCTTAGAGGCTTAAACACTGAAAAGCTTAAAACACAATTTCTGGGAGGCCGAGGCGGGTGGATCACGAGGTCAAGAGATTGAGACCATGCTGGTCAACATGGTGAAACCCCATCTCTACTAAAAATACAAAAAATTAGCTGGGCATGGTGGCGCGTGCCTGTAATCCCAGCTACTCAGGAGGCTGAGGTAGGAGAATTGCCTGAACCCAGGAGGCAGAGGTTGCGGTGAGCCGAGATCACGCCATTGCACTCCAGCCTGGGTAACAAGAGCGAAACTCCATCTCAAAAAAAAACAAAACAAAACACAATTTCTGCTTTCTGCTGAAAGGGTAACCCTTTCTCATCTCCATTTGTGAGAGACTATCGTCAGTTAAGATTAGTGTAAAAAGAAAACTAAACTCTGAAGTAGCCATTATAAAAGTGTGAGAATGAAGTCAGTTTTCTAAAGAGTTGGGGAAAGGTGATGCTAAAGGAGGGGATTGACCAAGTTCTATCAAAGAGCCCTTTATGAAAATACTTAGTCATCTGTGACTTCCCATTTGGCTCTTCTAGAAATCCTAGTAAATAGGTGTAACAGAATAAGAGGCACACAGTGTGTGTTTTAAAGTCTCTGATAGACTGACCTGCTTGTGAGGGTTAAATGAAATTGTGTATGTATAGTGCTCACCTAGTGCAGTACCTGGCACATGGCAAGTTAAAGGTAACCCAAGAAGACTCATAAGTTCATTTCATGCAATATAAGTGACCACTAGTACTGTCAGGTACCAGGCAGAGTTGGTATGCTCTGGTTCTATGTAAGAAATCCCTAAGGTAAAAGTTTGTAAATAGAAGAACATCTGTGTTGGTGTTGGTGGTTGTTACAGTTATTACTGTAGTAGTATAAGTAGTATTGGTAGTAATAATAGCTTATTATAATTACTAATGACACTTTTTTTTTTTTTTAACCTTTTGTGATGCTTTTCATACCTCTTATGCCCCTCACAGTATCTTGTCTCTTCTGCTACTTACTACCTCTGGATGTCTGCATTTGCTTATCTCTTGCAGTCGTGTGTATTTCTTTGTCTTTGTTCTTTGTTCTCTTTGTTCTTGTTTCTCTATATTTCTTCCTTGTCTTTGTTGTTTGTTCTCTATCTAAAGTGTGTCTTACCCATTTCCATGTTTTCTCTTGCTAATTTCTTTCATGTGTGCCTTTGCCTCATTTTCTCTTGTTCACAAAGAGTGGTCTGTGCCTTGTCTTAGACATACGTCTCATTTTTCATTTTGTTGCTGTTTCTCTTTGCTCTCCTAGATGTGGCTGTTCTTTCACACTTTATTTCATGTCTCCTTTTGGGTCACATGCTTTGTGCTTTTTGTCTGTTTCTTGTTCTACCTATCTCTCCTTTCTCTGCCTACCTCTTTTTTCTCTTTGTGAACTGTGACTATTTGTTATCCCTTCCCCTTATTTGTCGTAAATTTCACCTTTTTCTGAGTCTGACCTCCTTTCTGCTGTTTCTACTTTTTAATCTCACATTTCTCATTTCTACATTGCCTTTCTGCCTCTCTTGGGCTATTTTCTCTCTTTCCTCCCCTGTGTTCCTCGGTGTCTCTTGCTGTTTGTGATTTTCTTTTCAGTTTTAATCTCTGTTTGCTTGTGTTTCTTCTCTGCTTCTTCCCTTTCTACTCACCTTTGAGTATTTCAGCCTCATTATGAGTCTGTATCCCTCTCTTTGATTTCATGTATTCTTCTCTACTTAAATATTTCTTTGCATATGTACATGTGTACATGTATGTGTATCATGTGTGGCAGAGGGGCTTCCTAACCCCTGCCTGATAGGTGCGGAACATTGGCTATCAGAAGTAAGCATTGTGGAGTGGTTTCATATGCCAGGCTGCCATGTGAGATGATCCAAGACCAAAACAAGTTTTACTGCAAGACTGCAGTAAAACCCAACACTCAAGTAGGACAGAAGGTGGAAGGCTCATATGGATAGAAGGCCCAAAGTAGAAGACAGACGGTTTGAAACTTGAGACTCGAGGATTAACATGGAAAGCCCATGTTCCAAGATAGATAGAAGCCTCTGTCCTGAAACCAACAAAAGCCTCAAGAGCCAAGGAAACAGAGGGTGGCCTGAATTGGACAGAAGGCCTGAGTTGGATGGAAGATTCAAGTCTTGAGTTAGAAGGCTTAAGACCTGGGATAGGACACATACGTGGAAGACCTGAGACTGAGACTTGTGACACAAGGCCAAAGACCTAAGATTAGCCCTGGTTTGTAGGTAGAAGACCTACAACCCAAGGTTGGAAGGCTCCTGACACAAAGCCTACCTAGATGGATAGAGGACCCAAGTGAAACAGATACCTCAAGACTAAAGGCCAGAATCTGGAGGCTCATGACCCAGAACCCAGGAAGATTAGAAGCTTGAAGACTCGGGGAAATCCCAAGATGAGAACCCTAAACACCACCTCTTTTCTATTGTTATACTTCTTACTCTTAGATATTTCCAGTTCTCCTGTTTCTCTTTAAGCCTGATTCTTTTGAGATGTACTTTTTGATGTTGCCAATTACCTTAAAGGAACATATCTTTAGGTTGACAGTATTATGCCTGAGCCAGTTTTAAATCACAGTTTTTACCTCTTTGTTAGGCTTTAGTGTTTTGTAAACTTCTGTTTCTATTCACATCTATTCCACTTGTGAGAGACACCAAAATCCAGCCAGTATCTAATCTGGCTTATGTTATTCCCCTCAGGAGCAAGCATTCATATAGGTGATACTATATTTCAGTCTTCCCTTTAAACGTCAGAAGCCCTAGACTGATGAGAAGATAAAATGGTCAGGTTGTTGGGGAAAAAATGTGCCAGGCTCTCTAGAGAAAAAATGTAAAGAGATGCTCCAGGTCAATGAGAAAAATTAGACAAGAAATAGATAGATATGCCAGACTTCTGAGAAGCACCTGCCAAGCAACAGCTTCCATCTCTGAGCTTAGGTGAGGAGGATTCCTGGGGTTTGGGATTTCTAGTGATGGTTATGGAAAGGGTGACTGGGCCTGGGACAAAGTGAGGTCCCAAGGAGAACAGCCTGAACTCCCTGCTCATAGTAGTGGCCAAATAATTTGGTGGACTCTGCCAACCCTATTCCTGGGTTTAATACCCATCTCTAGGCTTAAAGATGAGAAAACCTCGGACTATTGGCACATTTAATATTTCCCTGATTTTTTTCTTCCCGTTTATGTGGGAAGTTGATTTAAATGACTGATAATGTATATGAAAGCACTGTAAAATAGAAAAACCAAGGCGTGCTCCTTAATAGTGTATTGGGAATCATGCACAGTTAACATTTGAAAGTGCAGTGTAAGTTGTGAAGCATTATGTAAATCAGGGGTCCACAGTTTTTCTGTAAGGGGTCAAATCATAAATACTTTAGAATGGTTTCTGTTACATATTCTTTTTTTAAACAACCTTTTTATAAGGTTAAAATAATTCTTAGCTTTTGAGCCAGTTGGATTTGGCCTGCTGTTCATAACTTACCAGCCCCTGATGTATTATTTATTATTCAGAGAAAATGTCTGAATACTACTGATTTCCTTTTCTGTGTCTGCCCTGTGCTTGGCACTAAAAATGCAATGATTATTTGTGATCACATCCAGGTGACCTGAAGAAAAATAGTGAATGTGCTTTGTAAACTATAAAGCACTTGTATTCTATGGTGATAATCACTGGGGATACAAAGAAAGGAGCAAGCAAAAAGGATCTAGTACTATGCAGACGCTAGGAATTAAGTGTTTGATAAATAAATAAATTGTATGTATGTTGAGGCTAATTTGTTTCTGCTGCTCTGGTGATTTTGACTAAAAATGCAGTATTCCAGGTATCAGAAATGAAAACACATGGAAACTGCTTTTAAACTTTAAAATATGCTGAATACAAGGGACTAAGCTTATTGTGGTCACCTATAATGTGCCAGATACCACTCTGGGCACTAGAGATCACAAAGGGGAAAAAATGTTCTCGTAGAACAAAAAGTTTCAGAAAGGTGCATATTAAAGTGCTTTGTAAACTAAAGCATGATACTGATGTCAATAGGCTACATATTTATGAATGAATGAATATTAACTGCCTCTTACATACCAGCTATTGTTTTGGGTACTGTGAAATACAAGATTAATTCTCCTATGTAATAGGAGGAAAATTTATCCTCTATACTATTTAGATATAAGGAATGAGATATTGCTTAAGCAATCAAGACTTCAGCGGTGAGGTCAAATTAAATTATTACTGGTGTATTTTCCCAGGTCACCCGGGAAGAGGTAGTATGAGGAAATGAAATAATAGATATGAGATCCAGACCAAAAGTCACTTAATTAAGCTTGCGAATATGGTCTCAAAATTATAAGGCACCTGTAAATGTAAAAAAATCGATGTTTTCTTTATGAATAAAACTTTCTGTAAGATAGGTATTGTCTCTACAAAATTCTCATTGTATACTTAAACCACAATGAGAAGGGTTCTATAAGTAGTTATACAAATTAAGGGCTTACTTGTTAAATGGATCAATTTTGATTGCCTACTATGTTAACTCACTGTTAAAGGCACTGAAAATTTATCATATTTCATTTATCCACAGCCAAAAATAAGGCAATACCTATGTTAGCATTTTGTGAACGCTAAGGCACCATATAAATGTAACTATTGATTTTCTCACTTGGTGCTGAGTACTAGGTTTATAAAATTGTATGACAGTTGTTATATTGTGCAAATAAAGCAGGAAAGTTTGAGTAACAATGATTAACTTTTAAATATTCATATGCAAGGGATTGGTTATCTGAAGAATACCAGTATAGTAGTTAACGATTATGTGCCAGTCTCATTGCTAGGCACTGGGGATGCAAAGATAAACCATCTTTATGTGTTCTGGGTAGCAGAAGAAAGTATGTGTAAAATCAATTTATAATTTCTAAACTGCCACCCATATATAAGCAATATCTGCTGATGATCATTGATTACTCTTATCCTTAGAGATAACAATTGGGGCACAAAAATTTATTACCATTATTGAACGTACAACAGAAACCTACGTGTAAATTTACAAAGTCTACAGTTCTATACAGATAGGAGTGAACTACTGGTTTACTGAATGGTGATTACTTTCTGTGGAGCTCAGAACTACATGTCCTAGGATATAAAAATGATGTTATCATTATGGAGTGCTCACAGAAGGAAATGAAGTAATTAATAGGTGTGAGATGCAGACCAAAAGTCACTTAACAGGCTTATTTAGTGATGAAAGCATGGGATAAATGGACTTGTATAAGGCAGTGTACTAAGCTAAGTAGAGAAATAAAGTCCTCTCCAGAAGGATACATGCTCCCTGGCCTGACTGAAGAGATGGAAATTTTTTGTAAAAAGCAAGGTATTGTAGTCTTCCATCCAGTTTCTTAAATTCTGGTGATAGAAATGAATTAGAACCACCTTGGCCTGGCTTACAGGCAGTAAAGGAGTAAAAATAAAGGCCCCAGGTTTGCTTTTTGATTCATTTGATGAACAAAGCATCTTTTATGTGGAATATACCATTCTGGGTCCTGAGGATAAGAGATCACTGACAGCTGAAGATAGAAGTATATCTTCGGTTTGATTGTGTAAATATTTCAGTGCCTATTCTCTGCAAGGCACTATGCTTGGTAAATTAGTAAACTAAATAGGTCTGGCCCAGAAGACCCACTCAATTGCCTTTGAGATTAAAAAAAAGAAAGAAAAAGGCAAGTTTCTTTCAAAATAAAGAGACATTTTTCTTAAGTTTCAGGAATCCCTCAAATCACTTGCTCATTGGCTTAGTTTGAAGCCAGGAGACTGATAAAAGGGCTCAGGGTTTGTTAATGTTCAATTCATTAATTAAACATTCTGTTCTTATTACAGTTAAATGGTTCAAAATTAAACAACTAGTTTTAAAGGTATTTGTTCATTGACCTGGCTTAGAGACAGGAAGACATTTGAGCAACAAAAAAGATCCTTTTACAATTACCATATTTAGTAAAAATTTATTAAAACTGAATAAAATGCTGTTCTTAAGTGCTTGAAAGACCCAAACCAAAATGCACTTTATCTCATCTTATGGTGGAAACATAAGAATAAATTCTATAAGAGATTGCATTTCTTTAGTTGAGAAAAAACTTCATTGAGTGGCTGTGATACGTTCAATGCTAAGGAAAAATTAAACAGATCATCTTTGGCATGCTCTGTAGAGTTGGAATAAGAGAGGGTGTTTTTTATTTTTTCATTCATACGAATATTGATGAAGATGATATTAAATGCTAAATGAAACATATCTGCTCCAAAAGGCATTTATTCTGACTCGGAGATGCAAGAAAAGCACAAGTGATAATCTACGTCAAACAGAAGTGACTGTTACGTCAACCTCTGTGCTTAAATCCTAGACAGAAAAAAAAGATCATGACTAAAAGACACTTGCTTATTAATTGGCTTGGAGACTACAATACAGGAGAAAGGTTGGTTTATTATTTTTTTTAATTTATTCATTCATTCTACAGATATATTTGGGTGCCAGTAGTACTTGGTATAAGGTTTTTGGTAGGTTCTTATTTGGCCCCAGAGACATGGGGAAAAAAAAAAATGCATGTTCCCAGAGAACGCCTGATACTATCCTTTTGGCCTGTTTTCTTGTTAGGGGCATGGCTTAGTCCCTAAATAACATTATGTGGTTTAATTCCTACTCCATATCTCTTCTACCACTCTGGCCACTACAATAAGCAGGTAGCTGGGTTTTGTAGTGAGCTTGCTCCTTAAGATGCAGGAACTCTCCTTATAATAGACTGTTGATTTTCTAGCCCATCCCTCATGAAAAATGACTGACCACTGCTGGGCAGAAGGAGGGATGATGACCAACTAATTCCCAAACCCCAGTCTCATTGGTACCAGCCTTGGGAACCACCTATACCTGAGGCACAGTTGGTTTTGAAGTGCATTTACAAGATTTGTCTGTCTTCAGTTTTTACTTATTACGTGCTGACACATGCATACACTGCCTAAATAGATCTCTTTTAGAAACAATCTTCAGATAACACGTGGCAGAATGGAGATGGAGACACGATTTCTCTTGCAACAGCTTCTCAACTTATATCTTAGAAATGTTCTCCTTTTTAATCATTAAATTTTCTCAAGAAGGGCATTTTATAGTAGAATAATATCAGTGGATGAAAAGAGCTTAACATTTTACCATGCTTAAGTTTTAAGAATAAAATAAAAATTGGAAATAATTGGCCAAAATCGAAAGTTTTTTTTAAAGTTCTCTAAATGTAGGCCTAACTGGGCTTTGACCTTTTCCATTTTTAAATCACTCACAGAGGGTGGGACAGGAGGAAGAGTGAAGGAAAAGGTCAAACCTATTTCTAAGGGCAACCTTCCTTTGTTCTGAATTGGCCTTAAGAACATTAGCTGCTCAAGGTCTAAATTGCTTCATGCAGTTCCAATAACTGATAATTGTTGAGATGAGGACAAAATTCTTTGTCCTCACTAGTTTGCTTCACATTTTTGAAAATAATTATTTTTGTCCAGTTGCCTATCAAATAAACCTTGTGTTAGGTAAGAATGGAATGTATTAAGTGGATCAGTGTGACCCCTCTATTGTTCAGACTTTCTTAAAGCTGAAGCCAAAATTGCTTCAAAGGAAGGCTTTATTGTTCATTGTAGTTCATACATACTTTCAAAGCATCTAAACTGTAGTTTCCATGGCAAGCCAATTACATCCATAAGTGGAGAAGGAAATTGATAAATGTCAAAGTATGATTGGTGGAGGGAGCAAGGTTGAAGAGAATCTGAGGTTGAAATTTTCTGGTTTCCATTCTGTACATTTTTAGACATTAGATTTGAAATATTAATGTTTGTCTTTTAATGTGTGGTATCACCTGGACTCAGTAACATCCCTTTCTTCAGGTGGGGATGGGGAATGCATTATTGGAAAATGGAAAGAAGAAAGTAAAAGCCTTCCTTTCACAGTTTCTGACATCACTACCACTACTGATTAAACAAGAATAAGAGAACATTTTATCATCATCTGCTTTATTCACATAAATGAAGTTGTGATGAATATACTTTTATGCAGACACAAGGAATTAAGTGGCTTTATCACTGCCCTTCAACCTGAAAGAGAATTTATTCCAGAATGCTAAGAAATGGAAGACTCTTGAATTTGTGAACTGATTTGAAATGCAGAATCTCTTTTGAATCTTTGCTGTTTTGAAGACTGAAAAACATTGTTCAGCATGTGTGACCACCAAAAAGCAATCTTAAGCCATCTAGTTGTCACAACTGAAGCAAACTGGGGAGTTGGTAGCTACTGTAAAATAAAATATACTGTTTTGAAAACTTGGTATTTTGATATGACAATTTCTCACTATCCCTTCCTAACCACACTAATTACCCTAAGTTTTTTTGTTTGTTAGTTGTTTTTTTGGAGATAGGAGTCTCACTTTGTTCCCCAGGCTAGAGTGCAGTAGTGCCATCTTGGCTCACTGCAACCTCTGCCTCCCAGGTTCAAGCGATTCTCTTGCCTCAGCTTCCTGAGTAGCTGGGATTACAGTCGAAAGCCACCACGCCTGGCTAATATATTTTTAGTAGGGACAGGGTTTTGCCATGTTGGCCAGGCTGGTCACGAACTCCTGACTTCAAGTGATCCTCCTGCCTCAGCCTCCCAAAGTTCTGGGATTACAGGCGGGAGCCACTGTGCCTGACCTCATTTCTTTTTTTTTTTTTAAATTTGATTGTATAAATAATTTATTTCTGTTCACAGCATCATATATGCATTATAAAAGGCTATGGAAACAAAAGAGGAGGATGATCGAGACAGAATTACAGCAGTAGAAAGGAAAACAGAAACCAGGGCACACAGTCCCAACACCAGAACAGAAATTGGGAAGAAAGTTGTTCTGAAGCAAAACTGGCCTGCCTCCCTGTGTCTATCAGAAAACATTTCCAAAGCTCACATAGGAAGGCCAACTAACTCTATGGGAAAACCATTCACTTGCCAAAGGGCAGAAAGCATAATAAGTCACCCGTTGATATACGGGGTGGGGGGGACGTGACCACTCCAAGGTGATTTGATCTGTGCTTCCTCTGTTGGGTCAGAGATGAAATGGACTATTAGGTCAAACATTCCAGAAATCAATTAATATCTAGACCCATATGCTTGGAATTTTAAATTCTCTTAGCCTACTGATTGGTTTGGATGAGCCCACCAGCTGCAGATGTGTGCTGAATTACAAGATGGCATTTTTTTTTTAAACAAGGGATGTCTCATAACTGCGTGATGATGGGTTTTCAGACATATTTAAAAAAAATCTTTTACAAATGAATACTTACCTTAGAAATATTCACCTTAAGAAAAAAGACTTTGCTCTGCCCTTTTTATATTCCTTTACGCTGCAAGTAGCAACATGTTCAGATTTCTAATTTGGTTCACTGTGGCCTATCTGGTTTAAGTATTTCATTAAACATGTCTCGTTAGAGTATTTGATGTCATGCACGAAAAAAATAAAACCCTACCTTGTTGCAAAAGCTGACCTCGTTGCATGGAATTAAAAGAGAAGGAAAAACACAAGGATGAAGTCTTTCCGAATTCATTCTTGTGGGAACTGGCCTATGGAGCCAGCCAGCACTTTGGGCAAGTGCAAACAAGTGCTTGAGATAAAGTGTGATGACATGGTCACTGGTACTCAGGCACTTCACAGTTTACTTGAAAGAGGCTTTGGAAAATAGGTAGTGAAAGAAGAATAAATACATATTTTTAATAATATAATTTTTAAAATCCTTTATAATCAGGACTGTGTCTTGGTTTGCAGAAGCTGTCATTTACCCTGAAACACAGTATCAAAAGGGAAACTTAAAACATACTGTTGGATGTTTTATTTCCTCTTAGAATCCATGTTTTCAGGTAGAATTATGACTTTCCCCCCATTGTCACACATTTCTTTCTTTTTTTAAGCTACCTTAACCACCCAGTTTGGGTAAATGATTTGAAGTCTTCTTACAGCTTCATTTGCTTTGGTCAAGGATACTGAGAAGCACAAACCCAATAAAAATGTAAGAAGCAAAAAACCATTGAACAAAAGTGGGAGAGGAGTAGGGTATAAATAAACCGTAAAGCTGTGGGAATTAAGCACTCCTGAAAGAGGCCCAGACCCTGAGTAGGTGAAGGGATCTTTAGTATTTCTAGAATTCTGAATGATTAAATACCCAAACATTAGATTGGTGACTTTGTAGGCAAATGAAACAACACAGTATTCTCTTGGCAGGAGTTCCTTCAGCTTTGTTGGAAATTAAACTGGAAACTATGGGTTTTTTGTTTTTGTTTTTTGAAGAAAGCCTTAACCTGTTATGAGCCACGTGGTTATTCAGTACATGTCCTTATTTATTTATTTTTATGATAGTCTTGCTCAGCTACCCAGGCTGGAGTGCACTGCACTAATCTCAGCTCACTGCAACCACTGTCTCCTGGGTTCATGCAATTCTCCTGTCTTAGCCTCTTGAGTAGTTGGGATTACAGGCACTCCATCATGCCCGGCTAATTTTTGTAATTTAGTAAAGATGGGGTTTCACCATATTGGCCTGGCTGGTCTTGAACTCCTGACCTCAGGTGATCTGCCCGCCTCAGCCTCCCAAAGTGCTATGATTACAGGTGTGAGACACCGTTCCCAGCCTATACATATACTGTTAAAACTGATGCCTGAACAACTCTAGCCTATGTGTTAACAGTTGAATTTTGTCATTATAAATGGGTTGTTTGAGGTGATAAAAGTTAACCCATGTCCTGGGGGGTTGCTTCTGAATTGGGATGGTCCTACATGGACTTTTCTGTTTACTTCTATTTCTTTGCAAGGCTAGATATGTAGGACAGAGGGTAAGCAGGTGAGGAGGTAAGGAAAGACTTCCTGAAGTTATTCTTGGGTATTTTCTGTTCCTTTGTCCATCCCTCTTGACTCCTTCAGCAGATCCTATTCCCACAGGGGCTTACTTCAGTTCCCTTGTCATATTCACTGTGCTTACTCTAGTGTTTGTGGTGCCTTAGTCCTCAAATTGTGTTCTTTTTCTTTTAAAATTTGAATGGAGGGGAAATTAAAAACACGATGTCTCCTGGTTAGTGAGGAAAGGTCAGACAAGGCAATTTTATAGGGGATAGCAGAAATATTTAGAAAATATCAAAGCATTTGATGGTATTTTTCAGCTTTTGTATTTTTATGGGTGAGTGCGAAGTGATCTCGGTATGCTTGTAGTTAGATTGTGTGCCAGCCTAACCCACATCCCCCAAACTTTGTGCCTCCTATCAGTATACTCTTCTACACTTGGTCATGAGAAAAGATAAGGTTACTGAGGCTAGTAGACTTACACGAGCATCTGTCATTCAAATTTTGAAGTGGAATAATGTAAATGGGGTCTAAAATTTAGCTAACCATTCAACTCACTGAATGGGTAGACAGGAAAAGTGCTAGTCTTAGGTCCAACTTCTCAAAAAGGTGGAGGGAGCAAGGAAAACCAGTTGAAGGACTTTAGTACCCTTCCCATGAATTATAGAAAATGGAGCACCAAGGCAATTGCATGGTAACTGAAGAGTCATTTGAATAGTTCTCAAAATTTAAACCCCACTCAGCTATACTGTTTCCATTGGTTTGGTAAAGGTGAACTTTTGAGGGGTTCTTGTTGTATTTCCCGGGTTGCCACAGTCTCTCCCAGTACCAGCATTCCCAGTGATGAGCTTCCTTTTACCCACTCCAGTTTCTCTTCCCTATGTACTCTGGATAAAAATTGTAACTCATTTCTAGAGTGCTAGAGCAAAAGCTATCATCACTTGAGGGCCTAAGGAAAGAAGAGCAAAGGGAGAGCAGAATGCAAAGTACAGTGGGAAAGAAAGTTGGATTTGAGCAGCCTTGCAGGTAGCTAACTATTTAGGCAGACCCTGTCACTTTTTGGGAACTTGGTGGTAAGGAAAAAAATTCATAAGCAGACTTTGCAGGTAGCATTTAAGAAAATCTTAGGAAGACTCGTATTAAATAGAATAAGAATGTCAAAGGTTGGGTGAGTTGTGAGGGATGAGCTTTGAGTGGACCTGACATAATATTCGATGAAGAAATGATTAGATATATCCCAAAGACCTAGAAAGACTGTTCCCCTTGTAGCCTTTTCCTTGCTGTTTTTTTTTTCTTTACTAATGTATCATTCTGAAAGCATCCCAGGAAAGCCAATGGCAATGAGAATGGTGAAACAGATGTGGGTTCCATCTGGCAGTGGGTTATATTGTCTTCTCCCTAGCCTCAGAAGACATTTGGCTGAAGTACCAGAGTGCAAGAAATGTCTTCTGTTACTAGGCAGATAGTCTCATCTGCATAGTGTGGTAGTTTTACTCCCTCACTTCAATTAAATTCCACTGTATTTTATTGTTTTGGTGCATGATGGTGTTAGCTGTGTAATTCCCATTGGACCAATTAGAATTGTATATATAAATGCACAAAATAAAGATGAGGCACCTGAAGCCCAGAGAAAATGACTTGCTTAATGTCACAGAGAAAATAGACGAGGTGAGCCTAGATCCAAATTCACTTAATTTCTAAACTAATTCTTTTCTCACTGTATATATATTATCATCATAGCCTCTTTTATGATAACCGATACATGCTCATTAAGAGCTTGGATTATGAGTAATTTACAGTTAGAATGACTGCTCCTAATCATAGCTAACCTCCAGTATACTATTTTATGTCTTTATGCTCATGGAGAAATGAAGTCTTGGAGAATATCCAGAAAGGGATTACAGTAATTATGGCTATTAACTGGTACCTAAATGGGAGAAATGTGAACTACTTACAGGAAGACACAGGAAGATAAGGTGGAGCTAGAGGATTCCCAGTTGTTACTTCCAGGGAAGTACTGGAAAACTTGTCTGGCATAGTATCCCATGGCATTTGGATTGTGGACATAGGAGGACAGCTGATGCAACCTGAATCATGGAGATAGACCATGAGAGAGAAGACAGGTTGTTAGAGTACCTTGCATAATACCATCCTATAATGCCAAACCCATCTGCTCACTGTCACCTCAAATGTTTGACTTACCATTGGAAAGAGCAAGACTTAGCAGGGAATAAAGTTACTTTTGCGCTCCCACTTTTACTACTTAAAAAGTGGTGAATAGGTGGAGATGGATTCCAGTTGTCCTCACCATAGTAAACTGTTGCTTCCAAGAAAAAGAATGAACCAAGAAGAATGTAATGGACACTACCTAGTATTGGCTCAACTAGATTCTGAGAGAAGGGACTTTCTGTAAAGGCTGCTACCTGGTTTTTGATACAGCAACTAGACATGTATTTTGGGGTTCTA